ATTAATTTAGTGTTAATTGGATTAATTTGAATGCAAATTAGATGAATTCAATATTAATTTGATGTTAATTTCAGTAATTTATTGTTAACTTGTTGAATTTAATTGTTTATTTAATGAACTAAATGTTTATTAGCTAAAATTGAATGTTAATTTGGTGTTAAATTGATGAATTGAATATTAATTAGATGAAAATTGTATATTACTTTGGTATTAATTTGATAAATTGAATATTTATTGTTTGATTTGGAATATTAATATAATATTAATTTTTTAATTACATGTTAATTAAATACTTTGGTTGAAAAATAATAGTAATTTAGTGTTAATTAATTGCAAGTTGAATTTTAATGTTAATTTGATGAATTGAACGCGTTAATGTAATATTAATTTTTTAATTACATGTTACTTAAATACTTTTGATGAAAAATAATATTAATTTAGTGTTAATTTGATAAATTGAATCTTTATTGTTTGATTTGAAATGATAATATAATATTAATTTGTTAATTACATGTTAATTAAATACTTTGGATGAAAAATAATAGTAATTTTGTTTTAATTAATTACAAGTTGAATTTTAAGGTTAATTTGATGAATTGAATGTGTTAAAGTAATATTAATTTGTCAATTACATGTTAATTAAATACTTTGGATGAAAAATAATATTAATTTAGTGTTGATTTGATAAATTGAATCTTTATTTTTTGATTTGGAATGTTAATTTAATATTAATTTTTAATTACATGTTAATTAAATACTTTGGATGAAAAATAATAGTAATTTAGTGTTAATTAATTACAAGTTGAATTTTAATGTTAATTTGATGTATTGAATGTGCTAATGTAATATTAATTTGTTAATTACATGTTAATTAAATACTTTGGATGAAAAATATTATTAATTTAGTATTGATTTGGTAAATTGAATTTTTATTGGATGTTAAATGAATGAATTGAATGTTAATTGGATATTTTAGAATAAATTGGATGAATTTAATATTAATTAAGTTGAATTCTAATGTTAATTTGATGAATTGAATATGTTAATGTAATATTAATTTTGTAATTATATGTTAATTAAATACTTTTGGGTTAAGTTAAAATTATTACAACAAAGTTTTTCACCACTAAATAAATTGCAACAAAGTTATCATATTTGGGTACATCTTTTGTGTTAAATTAAAATAGGTAAAAAAACTTGGGGTAATATGAAACTAATTACATAGTTGATGGTGTAATATGAAAAATATGAGGAAAAAATTTAAAAAGAGTGATCATTTAGGGGTATAAGTGTAATTTATTTTAGACATGATCGCTAGTTGAGCGTTCGAGATTCGTTTGCTACAAAGATCGCTATTGAAACCCCGATTGCTATGCAAGCGATCCAGACAAAAAAAAATAGTACTTTTAATCAAAAAAGTGATACTCTTAATCAAAAAAATGATACTCTTAACCAAAAAAATGGTAATGTTAACAAAAAAAATGATACTCTTAACAAAAAAAATGATAATATTAACCAAAAAAATAGTACTCTTAACCAAAAAAAATTAGTAATATTAATCAAAAAAGTGGTACTCTTATCCAACAGTGTACTCTTAACAAAAAAAGTATTAATCTTAATCAAAAGAATTGTAATATTAACCAAAAAAAGTGATACTCTTAACCAAAAAAAGTGTAATGTTAACCAAAAAAATTTATTTATTTATTTTTAAATTTAAGCTTATCATAATCTCAACCTTAATTTTAATAAATGATGATGATTTTATAATCTCTTCAAGGGCTTATAGGGATAAAAATAATTCTGCAACTTTATCTTCTTTTTTCTTCATCTTTTTCGTCGTCTGAGTTTTTTTTTTTATTATTTTTTTTATGAATTTACTATAATCTCAATCTTAGTTTTAAGTGAAGAGCTACAATTAGCAATATTAAAGAACATCCAAAGAAATTACTTTGAACAATTTTATTGCTCTCTCTGGTATTGATACTATAAGATTACAACTCCATTGAAACATAAGATTTAGGAATATTTGACGTCAGTGAATTTGTGAAAAAGTTGAATCTAAATTGTAGAGGTTGAAAAAGACCTTTTATTCTAAAAGAAGGAAAAAAAAAAAAAAGAATCTTGCAAAGGTGAATTCATGAAGTTCATCTCATAAATCTGCCAAATGGCATATGTTTTTGGTGAACGAGTATCTATAGGTGTTTTTCTTTATCTTTTTCTTCTTTTTTTTTTTTTTAAATTGAGTATATGTGGGTGTTGAACATTTTATTTACTTTGTATTACTTCGTGTTATTGTAAAGTGAGTTCGTGTTAAAATTTTTTTTATCCATATTCTATTTGTTTATTCAATCGTGTCTAACAAATCGTATCATATCAAGTTCGTGTCCCAAATTGTTTTCTTTGCAATTTTCTTAATTTTAATTAATTTCAGCAAAATTTTTCAATTTTTCATTGCTCATATTCTATTATAAGATTATAAATAAAAATTATATGTTCCAAAAAATTGTTATTCTAACTTTAAGAAAAAAGATTTAAAAAAATAGTTAAATATAAGTACTTAATACTTTGTAATCAAATTTATTAAACTTAATTTTTCATTACTCATATTCTATTATAGGATTATAAATAAAAATTGTATATTCCAAAAATTCGTTATATTAACTATAAGAAAAAAGATTAAAAAATTGTTAAAGTTAGGTACAACACCAAAAAAAATTGTTAATTTTCTATGTATCAATTTTTAGATAAAATATAAAGAATGGGTCTTTTGAGTACGTGCATTAACTTACACTCAAACAACCCCAATCCTGTTTGATAAATTTTCTAAAAGCCCAATTGGAATTGATTTAAACTTTAATACTTTGTAATCAAATTTAATTTTTCATTACTCATATTCTATTATAGGATTACAAATTAAAATTGTAAGTTACAAAAATGCGTTATTTTAACTATAAGAATAAGAAAANCTAGACCATCCAGATTTGACATCAATGGTAGCAAGACTGCATGACCTTAAAAACCAACTATTCAAAAAGGAAATCTTTGGAAAAGTTGCAGCATACATTCATGTAATAGAGTTTCAAAAAAGAGGATTACCACATGCACATATATTGATAACAATGAAGATGGTATACAAGGTCATGACACCAAATGAATATGATAAATTTGTGTTTGCAGAAATTCCTGATGAATAGCAATATCCGTTACTACATGAAATGGTTGTCAGACATATGATGCATGGCCACTGCGGTGAACTAAATANAAATATAGCACAACAACTTTTTTTAATAAATTTGAATCACATACTTTATTAGCACAACTTACAATCATATACAAAAATAATTTAAATTGACAGATCTTATTACCATAGCTTACCACTATAAAAACAAAATTTTCAATCCAATTGCCTCTATAGATTTTAGATATGTCTACCTGTACATGGAGCTATTTTTAGTGTCGTATTGTATGCATTTTATTTTTATTTGTATCATAATTGTTTATTTTTCACTTGTACTGGACAATTTTTTGTTTGCTAATAGAAATATCTTTAATGCTATTAAGTGGTTAACAATAATAATTTCCGAACACAAAAATTAATAAAAGATATTAAGTATATATGTATCTGAATAAAATATCATTTCAAATTTACCAAACTTAATTTTTCATTACTCATATTCTATTATAGGATTATGAAAACTTTGTATATTTCCAAAATTCGTTATTNCATCTTCTTCTTTGTTTAAGTTTCTTTTTTTTATATAAATTTATAAGGCTAAGTGGTAGCCGGTAAAAAATTATAGAGTTNTCCTATTATAGGATTATGAAAACTTAATTTTTGAAATATCATTTCAAAAATTTTTTGTTTGCTGAAAGACCTTGAAGGGAATACTTGTGCTCAATTCTTACGTAGATTAAAAGATTTTTCATCTATGGATAATTTTGAAATTCATATTACAAAGGATATTAAATTAGATCAACGAGTTTACAACTCCCCCTCATCAGACCANAAAGTGAAAAGCGGTGGCCCAAAGTGAAAAGCGGGCAACATCAGCGGCAGTGGCAATAGTTCAACATCCCAAATGATGTCGTTGAAGTGCCAAGCTCGTGAGAAGCCCCAGGCGGTGCCGTTCCCTTCGATCCACCACAACAGTCCGTGCACTAGAGCTCTTCAACTACCGAACAACAATTCTGTAGCATCTCCGTTGGATTCGGTGGTGGTGGTGAAGAGCGAGGCGGCGGATGCGGTGGCAAAATCGGTGGGCAGTGGAGGAGAGGCGGTGAAGTCAAAGGAGTTGAAAGGTGTAAAAGAAGACTTGGAGGCTTTGGAGGCGAAGATTGAAGCTGAATATGAAGCTACTAGATCGCGAGGTGCCAAATCACTGTGGTAAGCTTGAAATGTGGCTTATCAGAAACCCTAATTTTTATACATTTGGGTGAATTTTGGAGCTATGCGAATCAATAATTTAGAGAAAGTTTCTTAAGGTTTTGAATGGAATGAGAAGCTTAAGGCTTCGGATTTGAGCTACAGAACAATCTCTCTCAGTTGTTCTGATTCAACGATATAGAACACAATCACAGAAAGATATAGAACACACTCGCTCACTCAAACACTCTCTCTCTCTCTTTCTCTCTCACATTGGAGCTTTTCCTTCTTAAGATTCTGCGTGTGGGTGTGGGTGTGAAACTCCAAATATAGACGTGTAGTAAAAGAAGAAAATTAGGATTTTGGGGGTTTGTTTACCATTTGGCTTACAATTTGAGGTCTCTTTCTCTTTTTGGTTTTGTAGGTTGGTTTTCATGGAACAAAATTCATCTATTGGAAGAAAAATCTTTGCCTTCTTTCTTTAATGGAAGGTCGGAGAGTCGGACTCCTGCAATATAATTGGAGATATGAAATTGGATTATAAATAAGTTTCATGCAAATCCTGACACACAGATTGAGTTGAAAGATTTGTCTATCTGAGCTCTCTGTTGGAGATTTGGAAGCGAAGCAAGAGGTGATGGATTTTTTGGACTATTGGGGTTTGATCAATTATCACCCATTCCTGCAGACTGAGTCTGCTGTTGTGGGTGCTGCTGATGCTGACGGATTGGCAAAGACAGACTTTTTGGTTGAAAAATTGTATCGCTTTGAAACAGACCTGTCACATACGCCGGTAGTTCCTAGGACTAATGTAGCGACACAGACTGTGCCTTGGGGATTGTTTCCGGAGTCCGTTGTTGCTGAAGAATCAGTGAATTCTGAGGGACCGTCCATTGAGTACCATTGCAATTTTTGCTTAGCTGATAGATATTCATTAATTTTAGGTAGATTACTACAATAATGGAAGAAAATGATTTATTTTTTTATCATGAGCTTTATTTTGTTGTCCTGCATTGTAAATTGTGATGACAGTTTGCATTTTGATTAGTACGATGATATAATAGGAGTGGACAAGAGGTATTCAACTTGGAGAACGTAAGATCATATGTCATAGCTGCTCGCAATTTTTTGTAGTGCACTGTACAGTACAAGATACTTCAAAGTGGGGAGGAAGAAACATGGCAGCGTTTCCAAGTTTATCCACCCTCCAAACATATGCCTTCAACTTAGAAACTTGGTAATTGGTAGTGTTTGTAAATAGTTGTGTCTAAATAGAACTGTAGTGTGATGGTGAGTCCAACGTATAGGATATGATTATGGAATGTATATATTTATATCTATATCTATCTATTTATCTATATCTTTATCTATTTTATACTACTTATAAATGTTAATATTTGTGAAAAACTTTTGATATTCTATTTCACCTTTAATTATTACCATAAAGTTAATTACACCCACATATTTTTTAGTCTTTATATTTATTTAACTTCCAAAATATTAGCTAGATAAATTTTATCTTTATGAGTTGGTAGATAAACTTTATCAAAGTACTAGTTATTTCTCGTGCCTGAAGGCACGGAGTAATAAAAAAATGGTCAATAATAAACATATTTGTATTTACACTTAAAATTAAATTACAAAAATAGATGAGAGAGAAATGATTTTAAGAACTAATTGTAGTTGGGGTGAGCGATGGTAGAGATTGTGAGCAACAGTGGTGGTAATGGTGGTGATGGTTGTTGTACAATAGGTGATGGTGGAGTGAGAGCGATGGTGGGGGTGATAGGGTGACAACAACAGTGAAGATGGTAGTGGTAGGGCGATAGGAATTGTGGTAGTGGTGATGGTGGAGGTGGGGCGACGAGTGTGGTGGTAGGGTGGTGATAGTGGTAGTGGTGAAGCTAAGGTGGTGGTGGTGGTGGTGGGAGAACAGTTGATATACTACTTTTTTTTAAAGTACTTATGAAAAATTATAAATTCTAGAAGTACTTTTAAAAAGTTATTTCAAACACACTCTTAAGAGCCTATTTTTTCTATTAAATTTGGGGTATTAATATTAGTCGTTTAATTAACTTTAAAAAAAATTAAAGAGATCTCATCCATGAAAAACAAAAGTTATTTTATTTATCTTTTAAAATTTAAATTGTATTATACTTTATTATATAAATTAGGTAGATAAACTTTATCTCTATGACATGATAGATAAACTTTCTCTAAATTCTTTCTTTTCTATTCAATTCTACAAACTCTACTATAATTCTAATACCATATATTGGTAATTTTTAGGTGATAAACACAACCATTCATGTAGGTCTATAATCAAACAATTGAACAAGCGTCTTAAAATCCTGAAAGATTTTCAAACTAGTTGCAAAAAAAGAACTGGAANATGGTTCAAAATACCTATACTTACAACAGAGACAAGCCTATGTAACATATCCAAGCAGAGTGGAATAACAGAGTTAATACGCAGAGCAAATCTCATTATATGGGATGAAGTCCCCATGGCTAAGTGGTTTGCCATTGAGACACTTGATAGGAGCTTAAAGGACATAATGAGCAATTCCCAATCATTTGGAGGGAAGTTTATCGTCTTTGGTGGAGACTTTAGACAAGTACTACCAATCGTTCGGCGTGGTACAAGAGCACAAACCATTAATACAAGCTTAGAGAGATCACACTTGTGGAATATCATGGAAAAACTAAAACTGAGACAAAATATGAGAGCAAGGACAGATCCAAAATTCAATAATTTTCTCCTACAAGTTGGAAACAGAGATGCATAGAAAGACAATGGTGATATTATATCTCTTCCAGAAGAAATGGTGATAAAGTACGACAATGATGAAGCATCTGAAAATAATCTCATCAACAACATATTTCTAGGATTATAACAAAATGCAAACTCGGCAAACTACATGACAGAGCATGCAATCCTTGCAACAACCAATCAAGATGTCAACAAGTTGAACGAACGATTGATTTTCGATATATCCAAGAAAAAGTACAACATTCAACAACTTTGATGAAGCAGTCGATGATACAAACAATTACTACAAAGAAGAATTCTAAAATTCCTTGATGCCAAATGGCTTCCCCCCACACAAATTAACCCTCAAACCGAATTGCCCGATCATGCTTCCAAGAAATCTGGATCCGTCAAATAGTTTATGTAATGGAACAAGAATGGTATGCAAAGGATATGTCAAAAATGTAATTCATGCTGACATAACATATAGGGAAACAAGTTTTCTTACCAAGAATACTATTTTCACCTGCCGAGAATGAAGGTTATCCATTCCAATTCAAGTGAAAGCAATTTCCAATACGTCTGTGTTTTGCAATGACTATAAATAATGTGTTTTGCAATGACTATNCAACCAGGGGGTAGAATAGCTCACTTATGGTTCAAAATACCTATACTTACAACAGAGACAAGCCTATGTAACATATCCAAGCAGAGTGGAATAACAGAGTTAATACGCAGAGCAAATCTCATTATATGGGATGAAGTCCCCATGGCTAAGTGGTTTGCCATTGAGANCAGTTAGTAAGAGCATCCTTGTGAGAGCATAACATAATTCTAATTAACTAAATATCCACAACATGCCTCCATCCAAAAATATAATCCAACTAAATCCGGGGTGACAGTTAGAGGCTCACGAAGTCCTCCCAAACCCGGATACATCCAACACCAACACATACCACAACTTAATACCCAAAGTCATAACTTTACATTACAATATCCAAAATAATAATCCATCTATAGGATAATCAAGTGTACACCAAAAATGTCTCAAGACAACCTTTTCAAATACAATGCTTGAGTGCTAACATTTTTACATAAGTTCTAAAAGTAAATACAAAAAACTCAAAAAGATATTCTTTCTAGTCCAAACTTCCACAAGCATTCCATCACTTATGCCTCAGGATGCATCCTAGTCTCTGAAAATATTAGTAAGGGATGAGCAACCACATGCTCAGTAGGATAATCCTTTTCTCAAGGATTTACAAAGTTTTAAAAACAAACATTCCACAAATCATACTAATAAGTAATGAAGCATTATATAATTAAATACAGATACAAAATAATAAGTAAAGCATTTATAAAAATCTCCCAACACCTAAACATTAGAAATATATAAGGTATAAATTAAAGTCAAACCATCATAACAAATACCATGCATATCTCGCATGCGGACAATATCATTAATCACACCGGTTCACGCATGAACCATCCCCGGAGAACCTTTTGGGCCTTACACCCTAGGGTCTCATCGCCCTTCTTGCTTTTCAAGGGGAACGTGTAGGGCACAACTTGTGATGTCACATAAGTCATCATCGAAAACAACTACCATAATCAATCCCCCTTAGGACTAGTAGTAACCTTGCCAACCCACTCAATAGGCCTCAACCGTCTACTAACCCTCTGCCTGTCAGTATTGTGCGTACATTTTTCAAAAATCATTATTTGCTATATCCATAAATTCTTTTGAAAACACATGTCATAACTTTGACATTTTATCAAATATGTGGTAAACTCAAATCTCAAAAGTTACATTTTCAAAGCAACACAACCATTTTCAAGATAAAATAAGTCATATATATTATGTACAAAATAATAGCATACTTCAAAACCCCTAAATCATAGGTTTAATCAAATACTCATAACTAAAATCAAACTAGGGCATTTCCATTTTTAAGAGAATAAGTCATATTATGTACAAGATCATAACATACTTTAAAACCCCCAAATCATTAGTTTTATCAAATACTCATAACTAAAATCAAACAAGGGTTTCAAACCCATAACACTAAAATCATTTCTATTTTCAAGAGAATAAGTCATATTTTGTATAAGATCAAACTTCAAAACCTCCTAAATCATAAGTTTAATCAAATACCCATAACTAAAATCAAATCAAGGGTTTGAAACCCACCACACTAAAATCATTTTTATGCATGTAGGTTCACAAATCCATGACATATTCAATACTATATTAAGGTTTATAACAAGAATTTTGCCATCAACCACATAGTAAGCTTTAACTAAAGAAAATACATGAGATGCACAATGTAAATGCAAGAGAAAGAAAAATTCCACCTAAGAATCAAGAATTTCAAGCCAAATTCCTAGGATTTTCAAGCAAACTCCAAGTTTTATGGACCTTCTTCTTCCCCTTTCTCTTTTCCCTTATCTTCTCCTAGAGTTCTAAGAGGTTTTGGGTGAGAGATGTGAGAAAAAATGGAAGAAAAGGGGCTGAAATCTGTGTTTTAAACACAGCAGCCCCGAATTCTAATGTTCATGGGCTGAAAAATTAATTTTTTTCTCCGAAATTATGATTTTGCCACTAAATATTCTAATTTGATCCATATGACTACCATAAGGTTTTTCGATGTTTTCGAATTCATTTTTAATGTTATTTTAACCTCAAAATATTTAGTTTTATGATTAATCTCAAAATTAAAGTTAATTTACACCCGAAACACTAAAATTACTATTTTACCCCTTCCGAACCGCTATATGAGCTAAACGTCTATTCTAAATTTTTCGGACCTCCTGAATTCAATAAAAATATTATTTTGACCCAAAAAAATTAATATATTTACTTAGATATCCTTATCAACCTTAAACACCTCCAAAGATTAAATTTGACACAAAAATCAATATGTTCGCACTTTAAACTTACGCGACTATTCTTTAACAACGATTCGAAGTTTCTCTCATCAATTTAATTATTTTAAAAATACTAGCAAATTAATATCATTTATATTTATATAACACATGGGATCTCACAATCTACCCCTGTTAAAATAAGTTTCGTCCCCAAAACTTGTTACTAACCTCCAAGGTCGAAAAGAAGTGGATATCGTGTTTGCATATTGGTCTCCAATTCCTAAGTAGCTTCTTCGACACCATGGTGTTTCCATAACACCTTCACAAGAGGTATAAATTTGTTGCGTAGAACTTGTTCCCTCCTAGCAAGAATTTGCATTGGCGCTTCATTGTAGCTCATGTCCTCTTGTATTTGGATGTCTTGTCAATCAA